AATTTTCAAGTCACAGTTATAGCAGAGGCCTCATTCTCTGCATGATTGCAGCTCTGTCCAACTAAGCTTCTTAAAGGGCAGCGGGGGGCAAGGCGGAGAAGTTTTGATGATAGAGTTTGGGTTTCGATGCAACCTCTTCATCCTATTCAACCATTCCTCATGGAGGCATGCCAAGCTAGCTGCAACAATAACAGTCGTCGGTTGAAGAGCTTTCACTTTGATCCAGATGTCTTCCTGGAGCCCTCCAAAAAAGCATCCTACCAATGCCTTCTCAAGCCACCCAAAAACTCGAGAAGCCAGCTTCTCGAACTTGTTCTAGTACTCCTGAATAGAGCCTGTCTGTCTAAGCTTCGAAAGGGCTTCATCAAAATCATCATAACTCGATGACCCAAATCAGGCACATAGGGCTTCGGAAAAATCGGACCAAGTGAGATGAGTATCACTTCCCCCTCCATATGAACTGAAGCCACTGCAACCTTCTGTTGGCCCAGAATCCCATTATATTCGAAGAATCGTTCTGCTCTGAAAATCCATGAGGTTGGATCATCACCAGAGAAGAGGGGAAATCCGGCTTAGTCTTGCAATATGGATTTCCCACCTGCTTCCAACTACTCCCTTGGCTTGAGCCTTCATCTGGATCTCGAGTTGCTGTAGAATTCAGTCATTCACACTGGCTAGCCATTGCAGTCAAGGCTTCCTTAATCTCCTTGAGTTCCCTGGTAACCTTCTGTAACTACCCTTCTATCTTTTCCATTCTTTGTCCATGCCGAAGATCTGGTTCCCTCCCGGTAACCTGCGCTCTAATACACAATTGGTGAGAATTTCTAACCACAAGGGCTGCTTCAAGGGAGCGCTACCTCCTAGAAATGAGAGAGAGAGAGAGAGAGAGAGAGAGAGAGTTTTGAGATAAATTTGTCCATTCCATTATTCAGTCAGATATTTAAAAGGCACTTACATCGAAGGCACAGGGGAGAAAATCAAGTGTAATTTAGACATGCTTGAGAGGTGGATTTAGACCTTGGACCACCATCGGCTTGGGGCTGGTGAAGTGGCGCACCTAGGTCTCCTAACCGACTAGGCCTTATCATTCTCCCATAGTTACGGGGAAACTCCACTAGGCAGTAACATCCCTAGTATTTGGTCTCCCTCACAATCTGATGAAATAGAAGCTGATAAAAAGATACTCTTTCCTAAAAAATATCATCATCATCATCCAAACCTTATTCCAACTATATGGCGTCGGCTACATAAATCTTGTTTTGCCAATCTGTTATATTTAATGCCATATCCATTGTTAAATTACTGGTGCTTAAATCATTTCTTAGTACTTCTACCCATGTCTTTTTTGGTCTACCCCTTGCCCTTCTAGCCCCTACAACTTGTAAGAAATCACTTCTTATGGGTGTTGTTGATGGTCTTCTATACACATGACCAAACCATCTTAATCTTCTTTCTTTATCACCTATTGAAGCTACTCCTGAGTTCCTACAAATGAATTTATTTCTACTCCTATCCCTTCTAGTTTTTCCACTCATCCATATAAGCATATGCATTTCTTCCACACTCGTTTTCTGGACATGTTGTTTCTTGACTGCCCAACACTTTGCTCCATACAATATAGTAGCCTTACAACTGATTTATAGAATTTTCCTTTTAATCAAAGTGGTATTTGCTCATCACATAAGACTCTAGATGTATCCCTCCATTTTGCCCATCCTACTCTAATTCTATAGGTGAAATTCTCCTCAATCTCTCCCTTGTTATGAATTATTGAACCAAGGTACCAAAAAAGGTCACATTGAGTTATCTCTTGATCTCCAATTCCAAGTGTTCGCTTCTCAGTTTCAGCCAAGATAACAAAGCAAGAGAAAGAGCCCTAGGCCATCCATTCCCTTCCAAACATTTCAATGAAATGATTCCTCATCTTGCTGAGAACTCATTATGTAGGAGATGTGAGACTAAGTCTAGCTGAACTTCACAAGTGCACATCAGTGTTGTCAACGACATGAGGCAATGACTAGTTGTTGGTGACGCAATGAACAAAAAGGCGTTATAAATTTAAGATATTGATGCAATCTTAAATATTGGTGAATATAAACTTCAAATATGCAATAAAAGAATGACAAAAATCATATGATGTCCACTCTTCACTTTGCAAAAGTAAGAAGGAAGGCTGGGTAGGCTGAGATTGGAAGTGGTAATCTTCATTTTTCAAAGAATGAGTGCAACCTTGATGTACAGAAACTCACTGGACCAGGCATGTTTATTTTGTTTTGTTCTTCAGTTAATACAATATATTACCTTTCTCAAAAAAAAAAAAAAAGAAAAATGAGTGCAACCTTGACTATTTCATATGGTTTCCTTGTTTGTGGCAACTCCATACCAGCACAAAATAATTTGAAGAAGGCAATTAGAAGGAATCCTCCACTATTCTTTTATTTTATGCCTTGTTCCTACTTCATATACCACCACCTGACTACATGCTACACAAATGTTTAGCATGCATAAATGAAAATAAAGGAATAAATATTACATATGATATATTTTAAATAATTATAAATAAAACAAACAATTAAAAACTAAAATAAGTGTTTGATTGACTAGGTTGACTAATTATATTGATTGGTCATTAGTCAACTTGGTTCATGCTTGGTTGTCCTAGGAAACCACATCATGGATATCAACCAACTGGTTATTGATTGATGTAGTTAGTAAGGACCTCAGTGACTAGTTGGTTCCACTAGTTTGTGCTTCGATGGCAATTGTGCACATAAGTTTCTTACATCCCACCTCTGGATATAAGATGATCAGATGCTAAATTTGTTCAGGAGAGACACACATATAAAGTACACCTAGGAGGAATTTACAATACCTAGATATGGATATCAACACAGACATGGATACAAGAAATGGGTATTTTATAACTGATGTAGCTGAGGGGCTTTTTGATAACAACTGATGTAGCTGAACTGAATGACTTATTGCTTGGCACTCCTTGGTGGTTGAAGCTGAAATTTGGTCGATTCCCAGGGTGTGATAAGAAATCATCTAGGTGAAGTTGTGGCACTCTTCTCAGGACCAATAGGTATTGGTGACTCAATACAGGCTGAATCTCTGGCTCTACTTCAAGGCTTAAAGATGGCTGAGTAGATTGGAACAACAGAATTAGAAATAGGAGACTCACTACTGGTCATCTCTTGGGCTAAACACATCACATCAGCACCTTGGAAGCTCAAATTTATCTACAGAGAAATTGACACAATTGCAAGGAGGTTTAACTCTCAGTTTGCTTGGGTTAGAAGGACTGCAAATGGATTGGCGGATACCCTAGCTAAACAGGGGGCAAATAGACCTACCTTGTACGGGGCTGAAATATAACTGTTTTGTATGTGTCTGTAGACAGGGTTATAGATTGGGTTAAAGCATTATTGCAACCTATATCTATTGTAATTCAATACTTCTCTGTTATTAATAAAAGTCTTTTGCTGATAAAAAAAAAAGTATTCTATTACTTCATTATTTTATCAACTAAAAGACAAATCAATAAATCATTCAGTTCAGCTACTTCATTTCTCAATACTTAAGCCTTGCCAAATTTAACTAAATTTCAAACATATAAAGATATTTTATATTATGATTTTAAAACACCATTTATATTTTTAAAGTCACAATGCTATTGAGTATATGTAAAAGAATCCATGCAGTATCCAGTGTCATATGTATTTTGTGTGTTCAATAACAGTGTTCTAGGGATGGACAGGTGATATCATAGGGAAAAATATGTGCAGACAAAATCCAACACCATGGAACATTATTCACATTATCCCCATCCAGCAGAAAGGAGTAATTATACCTCAATTTAAAATAAAAAAAAAAAGCTATTCAAATCCGGGTTCCAATTTCTAAACTTCCCACTCAAAAAGGAAACTGGACTGTTAAATCTATGCAGCCTTTAACCATTAAGTCTGTTTTCCAATCATTGCTATTTGTGTCTGAATTCTGAAATAAGGACCCCATGCTACCTCATTGGAAAGCATCTTGTAGCAAATTTTAACTGATGCTCCTTTATCAAAAATCAACAGATCTAGAAGCAAATGCTTCACTAATAGTTTTTCAACCATGCCACTTGGCCTCACAAAACTGTACTTGGTTCCTGGACCCAATCGAAATGAGGATATCTTTTTTTGGAAGCCCAAAGAATGCTCAAGCGTTGCAGAACAAATAGTAGAACATTAAGGTTTTGGTCTTTCTTCCCAGTCATGTCCAAGAGTCCTATGTGCACCTCGTTCCTAAAACAGCATAACCATTTTCTGAGTATGCTTTATTCATTGACCAAATTGAACTCAAAGAAAAACCCCAAACCACCTCTCTCTTTGGCATGGAAATCTTACTCCACAAAAGTGATACATTTTTTCATCATCGGGTCTATTCCAGATGATCTCTTCCTTTTTTCTCCAACATTTCAGTCACTGCCACTGGAACAGAAAAAGGGTAAGGTATTAAGGTAATAATTTGATACATTGCAAACCACACCAGAATACTGATAACCTCACAAACTTCTAGAGTGAAATGGGTTTTGATTGAAAATTTTTAACGAGATGATAAGATTTTAATTTCTTCTTAAAAAGTGGTTCCACTTCAACAAATTAAAGAAAAGAAAAAAAGAACATGAAAGAGGATTACCAAAATATTCTAACAGCTTCTAGAGTGTAGTAACTAGTTGGTTTTTGAATTAGGACTCAATATGAGATGCTGAAATTATAGCTAGGGTTCTTGAATGTGATTTTCTTTTAAGTAATCAAGACCAAAAAAAAGCAAAAGATTGATGAGAGGAGTATCAAAATAATCTAACAAATTTTAATAGAGATCCTATAAAGAGATGCCTCAATTGTAACAATTGTCGTGTAATGTGCTTCCCTTCTAACTAATAAAACTAAACAAAAAAGAAAGAAGAATGTGAACAGAAGATAATGGACATTTTGAGGAATATGGGACAATACCGTGCCTGCAAGCAAATGGCAGAGTTATGTTCTGAGCTTCAGCGGTATGCAATATATACTGGTCCTGCGAAATTGGATCAAGCAGTCCACATAATTTAATTACTTTATGTACTGGATACAATATGTAAACACTATGCATTAAGATGAACCCGTTAAAAAATAGTCATGAGAGAACAAAACCCAGACAAGAAAATGAACCAGAAAATTCTCCAGCTGTGATAACGGTAAGACCGTGTTTCTTTATAAGTGAAGAAAGGAGGGAGCTCGTGGTACCTCAGGAACGAGGAACTCGTGAGAGACTCCTCGCTGTCTGTCGTGTACTGTTACTTTGTGGACTGGAACCGACGACGGCGAAGTGTAACCGCCCGGAAGGTCAGAGACTTCGGCGGGAGTTTGAAGTTCAGCTTTCGTGGAGACTCGATGGCTTTTGGTCGGACTAATACGGCAAAACTGACGGAAAGCATGGGGTTTCCGGCACGTTGAAATGCAGAAGGGGTGCCGGTTGGTGGCGATTCGGAGATCCATAATAGGTACAGAACAGGAAAACTGAAGTTGGTTTTGGTCTTTACATGGCAAGGCTATGGATAGGGGAGATCTGCAACTGGATAACGGAAATAGTGGCATTTGGACATGCGGACTGATGCAATAGGGCCCTTCGGATTCGAGATGGGCGGCTCCTGACTATCTGTCGATTCTGTCCCCTTGTTTGGACCAGCGGCCAGGGATATAGCAATTCATAGGGCCTGGTTGCGTGTGAACCTGAGCCATGGGCTGGCCTGGGCACTGGGGCCGCACCTATCATGTAAACTATTCGCAACAATATAATTTATGGTAAATTACAGGGTACTACCCTGTACTTTTGGCATATGATGCTTAGACCCGGAATTTTCATTTGAGACAAAACCAAAACTTTTTGATTTCAACACTTTGTTCCCATAGATGGACCGATGAAAAAGTTAATTTACTAAAAATGGAAAGGGCAAATCACCTTATTCCTTTTATCTCCCACTTTGGATGATGATGAGGGGTAATTTGGCTCTCCAATTACAGACTGCCACGTAGTAGGCATGAATTGTTTTATGACACCTTAGTGTTATACGTGGTCAAACTTTGACTTCGTCCGAACAGATCGGCTTATGCTACTCTCCTTGAACCCAACCTGCTTCGATAGATCGGCAAAATGCTTAACAATTGCCCGGAGTACACCACCTTAGGGGTACGAGCCAAAGACTCTGACGACCGACCTGCCATTCCGACTTGGGTAACTGACAACCTGATGAACCTCGGGGACACTGACCTATGTGGTACGTCTTCCCTTTTCCGCCTGTATCACTTAGCACCTCCGAAACACACAACGGCATGTCGCCCATCTGGCAACGATATGCCTGGTCCCCTATGCTTTGCAGGGAACCAGATAAGGATCAACGCGGTGTTGTACGGGTGTACTCCGCAAGCAACAAACGGATAAAGTCTATCACCTCTGAATGTGTCAGACACACTTTGACTGCACCATGCAGTCTATATAAAGGTGACTCCTCGCCCTCTAACAATACATTCACACTATTGCTCTCTAGCTCTCTATTCTGAATTCTTGCCTACCGGCTCTCATTCTTCTAAAGGGATGAAAGATCCATCATATGGATGGCCGAACCCTGGAGGAAGGTAGGATGAAATTTCAAAAATTTCTCTCTCTCCCATCTGGGAATCACATTCCTTGTTTTAGAAAATCTGCATTTTCAATGATCAATCTTGAACCAAGAACCGAACCAGATCTGAACTAAAACAGTAAGAGAGGTGTTCATGCCCAAAGAAATAGTCCAAAGACTGCTCCCACTGAAAATGACACAATGAATGGTGGAGCAGAATCAACAGGGTCCATCCAACGAACCGAATTCTTCAGCAAAAATTCGATGGAGGCAGTGAGCACAACTTCTGATCAGCCTTTCTCCAAAGATTGATATCAAAACACCTCTTGATCGCTCCTACAAAGGACGGAGGTCGAACTGGTAGTGTGGCAGCAACTGGAGGAAATCACAGAGAGAATATGGCGTAGTCACACTGTTGATGTCTTCTCTCTGGGTGCTCTGAGATCTGATCTCTTAGATTTTTGGGATGGATTGAATGGTTCGCCACCTCCTCCTTTTATAGCCTTAAAAAGAGCTCCTAATCTCATTAGGAGTTTCCTAATCCAAATCTATATTTGGATAAGGAGTTCTCTTTAAGAGATAAGGATAAGCCATTATCTTATCTACAGATTAGATCAGCTCCCTCCTAATCTCATTAGGAGGTTTCTAGATGAGATTAGAGTTAAGGACATACACTGACTGGAGTTAAGGGCATACACTGTCTAACAACTCCCACTTGCACTTAGGTTCAATCTGGTATAAGCCGGAGTCCCAGACTTTCCACGTGTTTCTCAAACACTTTCTGTGTGAGTGGCTTAGTCAATGGGTCTGCCACATTCTCCACTGCTGCTACCTTTTAACATCAATCTCCCGTAGATCCAGTGTTGTCATACAACAGTGGAATGGGTGATGTGCGGAATTCCAAATTCCAGAATGAACACTTTCATTCATAAGGCAGCCTCAGTTACGGCAACACGTTCGGCTTGGGTTGTGGACCGTTATTTTTGCTACTTGGGACCCCTGTTTGCTGACTTTTTCAGCAAACAACAACGATCCTATCGTGAAAACATACCCAGATGTAGACTTTCTATCATCTGGATCTGATTGGAAATCGGCATCAGTATACCCCTGGATCTGTAGTAAGCTACCATCAAATACCAAACAAAACTCTTTTGTCCTTCGAAGGTACTTAAGTATGTTTTTCACAGCAGTCCAGTGCTCCTGCCCTGGGTTGGCCTGGAATCTGCTTACCACATTCACTGCCTGAGCAATGTCAGGACGAGTGCACAACATGGCATACATGATGCTCCCTACGACTGAGGCATAGGGAACGTCCTTCATGCCCTTAATCTCCTCAGAAGTCTTGGGAGACATTTTCTTGGAGAGAGTGACTTCGTGCCTGAAAGGAACATTTCCCTTCTTGGAGTTCTTCATGCTGTATCTCTTGACTATTTTGTCAATGTAAGCAGATTGGGATAATCCTATTATCCGCTTCGATCTATCACTATAGAGTCAAAGACCCAGTATATAGGAGGCTTCGCCAAGGTCTTTCATGGAGAATTGCTGTGAAAGCCATACTTTCACAGTAGTCAACATTCCTACGTCATTCCCAATGAGTAGAATGTCGTCTACATACAGAACCAGGAACGTAACCTTATCCCCACTAGACTTCCTGTAAACATAGGGCTCATCTGGATTCTACTCAAAGACAAACTTTTTGACAATAGAGTCAAAGCGGATGTTCCAACTCCTAGAAGCTTGCTTAAGTCCATATATGGATCTATTTAATTTACATACCATGTGTTCCTGACCCGCAGCTATGAAACCTTGTGGTTGTTGCATATATTTATCTTCAGTAAGATCTCCATTCAGGAACACAGTTTTGACGTCCATTTGCCAAATCTCGTAGTCATGGTATGTTGCTACAACTAGCAGGATCCGAATTGATTTAAGCATGGCCACAGGTGAAAAGGTTTCCTCATAATCGATGCCATCTTTTTGAGTGTACCCTTTCGCCACCAAACGAGCTTTGTAGGTCTCAACCTTACCATCGGGGCCCTTCTTCCTCTTATATATCCATTTGCAACCAATTGCTTTTACCCCGAGGGGCGGATCTACTAGAGTCCAGACTTCATTGGTCTCCATTGAATCCATGTCAGCTCTCATGGCATCTACCCACTTCAAGGAATCTATGTCCAACATAGCTTCCGCATAAGTCACGGGATTCTCCTCATTAGTCATAGCTTCCACCAAGTAACTATCTTGGTCATAGCCAAAACGGACTAGTGGCCTAGATACCTGGGTAGATCTTCTAGGTTGGTCAATACCTGGAACCTGTGGGACACCTCCCACTGCTCTTGAGCTCTCCTCATCAAGAACAACTTCCTGACGATGAATGTTCAGGATATATTCATCCTCCAAGAAATGGGCATTCCGACTACAGAACACCTGTTCTCCTACATCATAGAACAGGTAACCCACAGAGCCCTTGGGGTAGCCAACAAATAGGCAACGACTGGTCTTAGATTCCAATTTGTCCGCACTCGTTCTTTTACCGTGCGCAGGACAACCCTAAATCTTCAAATGTCTGACACTTGGTTTCTTTCTGGTCCAAAGTTCGTATGGAGTATTCGGAACCGATTTGGTTGGAACCCGATTCAGCACGTATATCGCAGTCTTTAATGCGTATCCCCAAAAGGATGTGGGTAACTCTGAGTGTACGAGAAGTGTCCGGACCATATCCAATAAGGTCCTATTCCTCCTCTCTGAAACACCGTTAAGCTATAGTGTAGTAGGAGGAGCTAACTGTGATACTATCTCGTTGACCTTCAAGTAGTCTCTGAATTCGTCAGAGAGATACCCGCCACCTCGATCTGATCGAAGGGTCTTAATTTCTCTCCCTAACTGTTTCTCGACCTCTTGTCTGAACTCCTTGAACTTTTCAAAGGATTCGGACTTGTGTCTCATTAGGTACACGTAACCATACCGAAATAATCATCGGTAAATGTAATGGAATACACGTGCTGGTTACAAGTCCTAACACTCAATGGACCACATACATCAGTATGTATTAGGTCAAGCATGCCTGTACATCTTTCAGGTTTACCGTTAAATGGTCGTTTCGTCATCTTACCCTGAAGGCAAGGCTCACAAGTGGGAAGATCTTCTACGGTTAGAAAATCCAAATGACCATCCTTTACCAATCTTGTGATACGACCAATGCTGATATAGCCAAGTCGGTAATGCCACAAGCACGTGGGATTAATTGTATCACGGATTCTTTTCTTGGGGATATCAGCCGACGTAGTTTCGGCTATGTTCGTTTCTAGAGAAAGATGTAAAACATAGAGACCGTTCTCCAGTTCCCCGTATGCGATGAATTTTTTGTTTCTTTTGATAGTAATCGTATTAGTAAAGAAGACAGAATATCCATTCGCACACAGTCTTGAGACAGAAATCAAATTTCTTCTTAAATTCTGTACAAAAAGACAATCTTTGAGTATAATGGATCATTCTCTAAAAATTAATTCTACGGTTCCTATGGCCGTAGCTGCAACACTTGCAAAAGTCCCCAAGTAAAGCGTCACCTCTCTTTCAATCAGCCTTCTGCTTACCTTGAACCCCTACAGTGAGTTACACGCATGAGTTGAAGCCCCAGAGTCAATACACCAGGATGCAAAAGCTACCAACAAATTGGTTTCTATGACACAAGATTCGAAATTACCTTTCTTGGATTCCAGGTATTGAGGACAGTTCCTTTGCCAATGGTCGGTCTGTTTGCAAAAGTGACATGCATCAAATTCTCTGTCCTTCTTCTGCTTATTGGACTTGGTGGCTTTCTTTCTTCTTTTGCCTTCCTCTTTTTCTTGCCTGACTTGCTAGCTTCAACAAGCATAGCAATAGGCTCATCCTTCTTAATCAGTTCCTCGGCCCTCTGCAACATATTGCTGAGTTCCTAAATGCTGACATTCAACTTATTCATGTTGTAATTCATGATGAACGAATTAAAGGAAGGAGGCAAAGAATTCAGGATGGCATCTATCTGGGTTGC